AAAGAGGTTTATTTGGCTTACGATTCTGGGACAGCTGCATCTGGCATGGGCCTCAGGCTGACTCTACTCATGGTGGAAAGTGGCAGGCAGCCGGCAGGTGCAAGCAGATCACATGGTGAGAGAGAGAGAGAAGAGATGCCAGGGTCCTTTAAACAATCAGCTCTCGCGGGAACTAATAGAGCGAGAACTTACTCACTACCCCTCCTCCCCCAGGGAGAGCATTAATCCCTTCATGAGAGATCTGCCCCCATGACTCAATCAGTTTCCAACAGGGCCACATTGGAGATCAAATTTCCACATGAGTTTTGAAGGGGACAACACATCCAAACTCCATCACTAGGAGATGAGAAAGGAAGAGGTCAGGGAAGCCTGGGAACACCAAGCCTCTTGTAAGAGATAAGGCTTAAACCAAACAGGCAGAATATGCCTCTACAATGGGATTGAGAGTGTCTCTGACACAGACATGGCAGTCCATACCTGTGTGACCTAACCCACAAGTACTCACCAGAGGGTTAGGCTGATGCCAATTCCGACCCCAGCTCTGCCATGCTCTAGCACTGTGCCTTGGACACATTTCTCAACCTTTCCAAGCCTGCTTCCTTCACTATGGGAATCTGAACGTCTAGCTTGCAGGGGTTTTGTGAGAATTTAAATGTATGTGACAGTATCTAGAACAGAGCCTGGTGCCTAACAGCCCATTTTAAGAAATGCCACTTTCTTTTCTTCCTTCCTGCCACATAAACAGGCTTGACATGTCACTGGCAAGAATATCAAAAGTGCAGCTGGGGTTTGGAGACTGAAGGTTTTTTCTGCCCAACCATTTATAGTCTGTTCCCTCACATGTGACCTGCCCGCCCGTACCTCATTATATCACACACACACACACACACACACACACACACACACACACACACACACACACACATTCCCCGTACCTCATTATATCACACACACACACACACACACACACACACACACACACACACACACACACACGTAAAACCCAAGGGAGAAAGAGAAGCTATTTCCAACCCCCTGATCTGAATGGGTCAGATTGGGAACTGTCCATTACTGTCAGCAGGAAAAACAAAGAACCAAGATCCAGGCCTGGCCTGAAGTTCTCCCTCCACCACAGGACTTACAAGACATGAGAGTACAAGACCAAATGTCACTTTCTATGGGGCTGGAGGGAGAGGCTTCAATTAAATTATTGAACAATCCTGTAAAATACCTTGGAACATTTTATGAAGCCATTGATATTTCTGTAGGAAAAGAGAAGGAGGCATGTGCTGTGGAGGACGTGGGCATGGGTGAGGGTGAGGAGGAAGGTTGTTTTAGTTCATTTCCACCAATGACAGATCAAGCCTGATGAAGATTTAGAAGCAGCACCCCAGAAGAATACATAACGTGATCTTATTTATTCAGCCCTTTCAGGGAAAGAGCAATAGCATGCCCTCATGTGTGGAAATTATCCCTTGAAGAAGAACATTTCAAGTTGGACTTGAACTGAGGTTATTAATCTTTGGGGGAACTATAGACCCTTTGGGGAATTCTAACACAGAGAGCTATGCCCTTCTTCCTTGGGAAACACAAATATACCCCAAATTCTACTTGCAGTGTTATGACAGTCATGGATTCCAAGTTTACAATGTCTCTATTAAAAAATAAATAAAAAATAAATTTAAAAATAAACTTTCTAATGGAAATACTTCTTAACTGCATTACCCAGTTTCCTGTCTTTGAGACCTACCCATACCACTAATTGCTTCTCAGGTTGTGAACGGAAACTAAATGGACTCTTTCAGTTCCTCTAGGATCAGCAGCAGCAGTTTGAACAAGCCCTTAGCTAGGAGTCAGGACACTTGGGTTTCAGAATCATCTCAGCCCCTGCATTTTCAGAGTGACACTGAGCCAGTCTCAAGTCTCTCTGGCTTGTTTCTTCATCTGGGGGACAAAAAAGGTTGGGGTGGGGGCGGAGTTTTGACTAGGACAGCAATTTTCAATGTATGTTCTGTGGAAGATGCACATCATGCACAATATAAAAAGTTCCCTGGCCAAAATAAACCAGGGAAATGTTACATATTTTATTCTCTACTTGGAGATGCACACAACTTATTAGCATATTGTCTCTGAGAAGTCCTGCAATAAAGAAACCTATTGCATTTCATTTAGTCTAACATTTTCCTAATTGATTTGATCCATAAATTTTTTTTCCAGCAGAATAACAGCACTGCAGTCCCATCAGAGAACCATTAACTTAGCACTGAGTTTAGAAGTCAGTAAGATGTGACTCCATGACATCTATTAAACCTTCCCAAACAAATCAACACATCATAGAAAGTTATAGAAGGCTGGTATTAAAACAGAGTGATGTGAACCTTATGCCCAGCAGGAACACTGTAGAATTCTTCCATTCATCCTTACTTCACCGCTTGGGAGTTAATTGTTCTCTTTAGGCAAAATAGTGTAAATGCTCACACATCAGCTTTTAGTCTTTTCTTTTATTCCTTTAATTTGTTTAGGTCGGTAACTCTCAAACCTTAGTGTACATAAGAATTACTGTACTATTGGGGTTGATGGCTTAAATGCTCACACATCAGCTTTTAGTCTTTTCTTTTATTCCTTTAATTTGTCTAGGTCGGTAACTCTCAAACCTTAGTGTACATAAGAATTACTGTACTATTGGGGTTGATGGCAAAGGGGCACTTTAACTTTAGATGTATTATTTCTCTTATCTAAAAAAAAATGAAGCAAACATGACAAAATATCAACAGGATGATGAAAATGGGTGTTTAATCATTGGTGTTTAAACTTTTCTTTATTTTGAAATTTTTCAAAAGAAAGAGTAACGTTTAAATAATCTCGGTTCAAAGTTGAATATACTTAGCAGGGCCCTTAGAGGATTTTCAGGGGTAACTACGCCTCTTGTGGTTTTTGCCTGATGCACAGACTTTACATCTCACCACCACATAAGATGCAACCAGGACTGGCTGGTCAGCGCAGTTGCTTAGAGCCTGGTGTAATCACACCAAGCTCAAGGGTCCAGGTCCCTGTACCAGCCAGCACCAAAAGAAAAAAAACCACACTCTAATAACTTCCTTCAGGAGGGATTTTGGAGAACATTGGCCAAAAGCTCCTGGGCCCTCCGAGAATTGGCAACCGAGGGCCTAACCCTGCCTCCACCTCCTTGTCTCCTGGCTACAGGACTATAGGGTCAACATTTTCTTGCGGCAACAGTGGAACGACCCCCGCCTGGCCTATAATGAATACCCCGATGACTCTCTGGACCTGGACCCATCTATGCTGGATTCCATCTGGAAACCCGATCTGTTCTTCGCCAATGAGAAAGGGGCTCACTTCCATGAGATCACCACAGACAACAAACTGCTAAGGATCTCCCGGAATGGAAATGTCCTCTACAGCATCAGGTGAGTTCTGTGCAGGTTTGTCCACTCTCTCCTGGAAATGTTTCTTGCCCCTCTGCCTTCTGGGAGCAGACAGTAAGAGGGAGGCAAGACAGAGGTAAACGAGCACTGGCAACCCAACATCTTTGCAGAATAGGCAGACCCAGCTCTGTAACTTACAATCGCCATGTAAAAATAAAATACCTTGGGAAGTCCTAGGAGAAAAACGTTCTTTATAACCAAGAAGACCAGGGAAGTCTAGAGAAGGTGGAGTTTAAGCTACGCAGCATTTTAATAAAACAAGATAGGAAAGAGTATTCAAACATGATGACCAATAGCAGGGGCAAAGGCACAAAGCCTGGAAAATCACAGCAACTTCAAGGTAAATGGGCCTGCCAAATAGATGGTGCTACTCACAGGTATAAGCCAGGGCTGCTCCATCCCTTCTATAGCCTCTTTCAATCCCCCATACCTTGCATTGAGTCCAAGAGGTTGGAACCCTTCCCCAGCTATGAGGTATCCTTCAGATATTGATTAGGAGCAAAGTTTTCAGAGTCTCCTGCCACCCCTCTCCACCTAGTCCCTAATCTCCTTCCCCAAGACATGGGGAAAATAACCAATGACTAAGAAGTGAAGAAATTACCTTACACATGTAATAACAGGTACATTTCACTGAAAATTTACTCACTATGCTGGGTACTTTTCATGTGTTATATCTAATCTTCCTAATAACCCCATGAGGTAGATTTTATTATGCCCATTTTGCAGATTAAACAAGTAAGAATCTGAAATTTTAAGTAACTTGCCAAATTCCCACTATTAGTAGCAGAGCCTAGGTTCTAACCTGTGTTAATGTGGATCTGATACCTCTCAAAGCCTAGAACAGTGCATGGCATTCTATTGGCACCCCAATATTTAATGAATGAATACATATGTTTTTACTTCAAAAAGATTAAAACAGTACTGGTCTTAAATGACTCCCACCCCTCCTCCCCTTCCCTTTCCAGTTCCTCAGGGGAATAAATCTTATTTTCATTAGGAGATAAGCCTTAAATGTCCAGGCCCATGGGAGAGGCTGTACAGGTCCTAACCCTCAGGTGGGTGGGTGAGGGGGCTCAGGAGCCTCACCACTGCAGGGCAGGCTTGGAGGAACCAGGGGCCTGAGACACCTAATCGGTGGCCCTCTTTTTTTTTTTTTTTTCTTAATCGGTAGTGTTCTAATGTAACTTAGCTGCTGGCACCTTGGCTTCACATGGCAAGGCACACAGCCCTCTGTGAACTTCCTCACCCTGGAGCCTGCCTCACCTAGTGCACATCCAGACTAGAAGAATGACAGGCTTAGGAAATGACCACCAAGGCCATGGCTGACTAGAGGGAGGGGACAGTCACCCTGCTTGGATTTTTCTGCTGCCAGGCTAATTTCATATCTGCAGAAAGCTAAGTCTCAGTGTAGCATGACAGAAGGACAAATCAGCAGAAAGTGTTGTTTCCAAGGTCATTCAACTTCAGGAAATTAACCCAGAGTGACAGCTGCCCCACTTTGGAGCTTTTATCTTCAGAAATTCAACTGTATTCACTTTCCCTTCACTTCCCCCCTCCTTCTCCCACTCCCTTCTTTTCCCTCTTCTTCCCCTTCCTCTCCCTCACCTCTTTCTACTCATGCTTGTGCTTAAAGGGGCCCACATCCAGAGCTGTGGGTGTGAGCTGGAGGGAGGAAGTTCACAGAGGGCTGGGTGCCTTGCCATGTGAAGCCAAGGTGCCAGCAGCTAAGTCCCATTAGAACACCACCAATTAAGAAAAAAAAAAAGAATAAGAGAAAAGAATTTTTTTTAAAAAAGGACCACCAATTAGGTGTCTCAGGGCACTGGGACTGGCTTTTCAGGACAGTGGTGCTGGAAAGGCTGCCAGCAAACATATGAACCAACTCCACAAGGACTCAGAATCCAAAGGCCAGGAGACAGGCTTTTGAAGCCCAGCTGAGCCAACAGCTTGTTGTGTGACCTTAGGCAAGTCCCAGCCTGTTCCTCTCTACACCCTGTCAGATGAGGGAGTTGGCATGATGATGATGATCTAGGGCTCCTTGGGTTCTGAGAGCCTTTCTTCTCCCTTCCTTGCAGCAGGTGCTCAGATGTTGGCAAAGCCTTTTAAGCTGAAGTCTTGTATCCCAGCCTGGGCTGCAGGCCTTGGGTTCTGCTGAAGAGACTCTTTCTGGTTCTGAGGCTGTGGCCTCTGCAAGGGTTGGACAACCCAAACTAAACAGCTAACCCAGAATCCTGAGGAGCCCACCACTTTCCAACTAACCCCAGCATGGGCCCACTGATGCGAGGCAGCTGTTTGGACACCCAGAAGGCAGGGGGCCTCTTTGAAATAACTTTTGATGAGTCCAGTGTGTGATGGGAGGCAGCCAAGAACCACGTGCAGCATGTGCTGCAGGTGCACCTGGGGATACCTGAGGCTTGGTGCTGCTCAACTTAAAATTTGGCCTCTGTCCCTACCTGAGGGCTCTGCAGAAGAGTAGGGATTGCAGGCAGTCTCTGGTCTCCAGGCAACTTGCTAAAGAGGTCTCTAGAAGCCAGACAGACTCCGAAGAAATCCAAAAGTTCCACTGACTCTGTGTGACATTAGGCAACTTACTTTACCTCTCTGAGCCTCTATTTCCATATCAGGAACTTGGAAATAAACATATATTTATTCAACAAACGCTAGTTCCCTGACCTCCTTTCCCTATCCCAGATAACTGATTTTCTGATAGTAACTAGAAAGGAGGTATATCCTCCCTGATTTGTGGATCTAGCATTATTCAACTCCCTTCTCTTCCCAGAATCACCCTGACACTGGCCTGCCCCATGGACTTGAAGAATTTCCCCATGGATGTCCAGACATGTATCATGCAACTGGAAAGCTGTGAGTCCCTTGCATGAGTCTTCTAGAAAGAACCAGGCTCCCATTTACCATGGGACTGACAGAAATTCACACAGTTGCTCCTAACTGCTGGACCTCAGGAGATTACTGTAATAACCTAAAATTCTAGATAAAGGGCTTTGCTTTTAGAAAATGCATTAGAAATATAATTCCCCTTACATTATCTGACTGAGGCCCAGCATTTGGAGCCAGTAACATTCTCCAAAGAGGCACAGTTCAATGTTTCTTGTGAATACACTCACCAGGAATAGAGAAGGCATAGCTTGAAAGAGTCATGGTCCTGAAACTTACAGGGGATGCTCATTCCAGTAGGGGAGATAGACAACTGACTACACAAATAACTCTAATAAAGGACAGAAGTGGTTTGTTAGAAGTACAAAATGCTGTGGCCTCATAGCAGAAGGAGTGCTTCCTTCTGATGGGAAAGGAGAGAGGGTATTGGAGAAGGCTTTATGGAGGACCAGAATCTTAAGAGAGGGATAGCTGACTTTGATTGCAAACACAGAAACCAATCTGACTAATGTAAAAGTACAGAACCAGGACAGAGCATTTAGGTGGCAGTAACTAATGGATCATTTCCTTGAAGCACTGCCTCTGAGGGGAATCAGTACCAACCAACTCTGAACCTTTTGTGACTTCACTCAAGAGTCAAAGTCTCAGGGCAGAGAGTCTGATTGGCCTAGCTTGTCACCTTTCCACACCTTGCCCACCCCACCAATGGTTAGTCCCACGAAGACGGCACACAATACTCCTTCCACAGAGGAAAATCTACTGTGAGCAAAAGAGGAGGCTGGCAAGGATGGCATGCAGGCAAAAACAGCAAATGGCAACTGCATCTTACCATGGGGGTGAGGACAGCTAAGGCAGGGTGTGGAAAGATAGGAAGAGAGGCGGAAGGGCCATGGTGTGGATGTAAACAATTAAACCAGTTCTAACCTCCTTTGTGAGGAGAAAAAAAAGCAACATGGTCTCATGAGCTCCACTGAGCTCTCTCAGTCTCTTACCCTAACCAACCCTGACATGCTCAAACAAGTGCTTCTTGGTGGTGACTGCTCCTTCTTCTGATCCCATCCTAGTTGGATATACCATGAATGACCTCATCTTTGAGTGGCAGGAGCAGGGAGCTGTACAGGTGGCAGATGGACTGACTCTGCCCCAGTTTATCCTGAAGGAAGAGAAGGACTTGAGATACTGTACCAAGCATTACAACACAGGTGAGTACAAAGGGCCACCCTCCTCAGATCCTATCACCCCAACCAGACGTCATTTCAAACATTCATTCAACCATTGCATTGATTCAACAGATCTTATGAAGTACCCATGATGGGCACAACTCTGTATTTATCACCTAGTGGTTAAGGGAATAGGTTTTAAAGCCAAAAAGTGGCTCTGACATTTTCTTCCCGTGAGTCCTGGGGTGAGTAATTTAAGTTTAGGCCATACCTAATTACGAGTGAAGCTGGTAAATATGGTCTTTTTATTCTGGGTAGCAGAAGGGATCCTATTCCTAAGGAAGAAGGGAAAAATGATATTGGGAGGACACTAAGCAGTCTCTGTCATAGAGAAACTGGCACTTCTGGTAGGGTGAAAGTATAGAGAATGCTCACATTAGACCTCAGCAGGAGGGAGTCGAGGTGACACTGAAGATCAGTAAGAAGTTGGAAAGGGTCCACTAGCCCGTGAGCTACAAGAGGGCAGAGAAAGTACAGCTTTTTAGCTCAGCTCTCTATCTCCTATGCCTAGCACAGCTTTTGTTTCAAGACGGAACACATGAATGATCAAGCCTGGCTTTGCACGCCCATTGTAGGCTGGGATGGAGCTCACGGAAGTGTTGTGAAGAAAGTCAGTCTGTTGATCTGCCAGCTGGAAGCCTGGGAAGGAAGCTGCTGTCTCAACCCAGCTGAGAAAACTAGAGGCTGCTGACAAGCCAAGGAGAGCAGGAGGTGGAGAGGGATTGAGAGAAACCATTGTGGGCTCTGGTGCAAGCAGAAAGCCCAGTGAAAGGGCAGGCAGCCTGTACCACCTGCAGAGATATTCTCTTCAACCCTGGGCAAATTGAGACTCAGAGATAATGTATACTCACATTAGCAGCCATGAGAGCAATGATTCCCCATGAATCAGATAATCACAACTGACCCTCACATACCATGGCCCTTTACTATTTATAAAGCAGTTTCTCTTTTTTTCCCACCTTTCTTGAGGTATAATTCACAAATAAAAACTGTATATATTTAAGATGTACAACTTGATGTTTTGATATATGTATACATTGTGAAGTAACCACCGCAATCAAGCTAGTTAACATATTTATCATCTCACATTGTGTGTGTGTGGTGAGAACACTTAAGATTCACCTTCTTAGTAAGTTTCAAGTATACAATACAGTATTGCTAATTATCAGAACCATGCTGTACATAGATCTTCAGAACTTATTCATAACTGAAACTTTGTACCCTCTGACCAACATCTCCCCTTTATCCCCCACCCCAGTCCCTGGCAACCACCATTCTAATTTCTGCTTCTATGAGTTTGACTATTTTAGATTCCACATATAAGTGAGAACATGTGTTGTTGTTGTTGTTGTTTTTTATGTGTCTGGCTTATTTCATTTAGTATAAAAATGTCCTTTAGTTTCATCCACGTTGCAAATGGCAGGATTTCCTCCTTTTTTAAGGCTGAATAATATCCCATTTTCTTTATCCATTCATCCACTGAGAAGTACCTTATGATCCAAAAATCCCAGTTCTGGATATATATCCAAAGGAAAATAATCAGTATCTCAAGGAGATAGATGCACCCCCATTTTCACAGCAGCATTATTCACAATAGCCAAGACATGGAAACAACCTATATGTACACAGCATTTTCTCATTCATTATCTCATTTGATCTTCACCAGTTAAGTTTAAATTAGAGCTGAGCTCTGTGCTAGGTCCTGTGAATGCAAGGAGAAAAGACTGACAAGGCCCTGCCCACATGGAGCTTACATTCCAGGGAGCTCCAGGAAATCCCCTTGTTACTGTGATTCAGTATGCAGGAACTGATGCCCCACCATGGGACTGGCCCTGCCCCAGTTCCAGGGATACACAGATGGGGAGGAGATAAGCTACCCAGTCTAGTGCAAAGACAGAAACAGAGCGAGTCTGACTTGCCTACTCACTCATCATGTTATGCCTTAAAGCTTCTGATGACCATGTGAACAGAGCTAAGGGAACACAGGGGAATAAAAGAGGCATTCTGCCTGGGAGAAATTTCACATTTAAGGTGCCATGGAGGAGAAGGAAGATTTCTTTGGGTGGTTGTGGGAAGGGATAAGGGCATTCCAGGCAAATGGACTAGCAACATTAGAATCTCAGAGGTGTGAAAGTGCTGGGCATGCTCAAGGCAAAGGATGGAGTGTAGGGGTCATGATTAGGGTGAAGAAAGAAGGTCAAGGTTATAGAAAGACAGGTGAGATCTCTATCACGAAAAGCAAACTAAAGAGTTTGAATTTTTTCCTGTAGGTAATAGAAACTTCCTTGCATGAGAAGAGAAGGAAGGAACGAAAGGTTTCACAAGAGGAAGTAGTAGTATCAAATCATGTTTTGTGAAGATAATTGGCAGAAGGTTGGAGAAAGCTCCACTTAGGCAGGTCCACTCTTAGCAACAGAATAGTGGTGATGATGATGATATGATGATGGCAACTGACAAACCTGAGCATCTGTGATGTGTGAGGACTATGCTAAGTTCCTCATAAGCATTATCTCATTTTATCCTCACAATGACCATATGAGTAACCGTGTGAGGTAGGTATTATTATTATTATTATTATTATTATTATTATTATTATTATTATTATTATTATTATTATTATTATTATTATTATTATTATTATTATTATTATTATTATTATTATTATTATTATTATTATTATTATTATTATTATTATTATTATTACCATTATTACTGTTATCCCCAGTTTACCATAGATGAGGAAACCGAGATACAAAGCGATTCAAACACTTGCCTTGAGACATGTTGTTCCAGCCTTAAAGTTTGCTATCCATCAGGCTGTATACATTGCCTTCTCACCACAATTTCTTGCAGGTAAATTCACCTGCATTGAGGCCCGGTTCCACCTGGAGCGGCAGATGGGCTACTACTTGATCCAGATGTACATTCCTAGCCTGCTCATTGTCATCCTGTCATGGATTTCCTTCTGGATCAACATGGATGCTGCACCTGCCCGTGTGGGCCTGGGCATCACCACTGTGCTCACCATGACCACCCAGAGCTCTGGCTCCCGAGCATCCCTGCCCAAGGTAAGTCTCACTGCCTGAGAGCACAGAATACCTGGACAGATAAGGAAAGCATTCACCTCCCTATGTGGCCTGAGGCATGAGGAGCATAAGGAATTGCTCACTATTTACCTGTCTACTACTCCTTGCAGAATTCAGCATTCTGATCCATCAAACTTTCCATTAGACTCAACATTACATTCTGTACAGGTTGCCAGACACTACATTCTGCTCCACTGTCTACCACCAGTAGACACACGTTCTACTTCATTTACTATTAACGTCAACTTCGCATTCTCCTTCATTCACTTTTAGGGCTAAGTACAACATTCTGCTTGTTTCACCACTAATGGTAAATACCTTGTGTCAGTCATCTGCAAGACCATCCCCACATTCAAAAATTTGACAGAAGGACTCATAGTACTAAGCATATAGTTGTACTTGCAGCTAAGATTGATTACAACAATGTATTCAGGATACACAGCTAGATCATAAAGGGAAAAGATAGGCAGAAACTGGAGGAATCCATGCACAGGTTTTCTTACTCTCTCCTCCCACGAGGGGTCACTCAGAATGTAATCTTACTCCAGTAACAAAAGTGCAGACATGTGTGTGATATTTCTGCCCAGAGAGACAGGAAGAGAGACTGTTTTGAGACTCGTTAGAGACTAGGCACCCAAAATTTTAACTTGGGGCTGGCCATATAGGCACTCTCTACCTAGCATGTAACAAAACTCCAGATTTCCAGAAGGAAAACAAATGTTCATCATAAACCACATTGTTTATACAAGCAGTCTAGGCAGAGTAAGCCAACCTTACCAGTTAGGGAAAGTAGAAAAACTCCCAAAATCCAAGTTTCCAGATGCTGGCCAAGGGCCATTCTGTAAGCAGGCCCTTTTTAAGATAGCAGTCTCATGCCCAGTGTGTTTAATCCTTTTCTGGACATAGCTCGATCTGATTCTCACATTTCTAATGTTAAACACCATATTCACTATTGACTCTTAACCCACAGTCTGCTTCATTCACTACTAACATAAGACACAGCATTTTGCTCCATTCACCATTAGTGTCAGATACACAGTATGCTCCATTTACCCTTATACTACACACAACATTCTGTTCCATGTACTTGTAACACCAAACACAGCATTCCACTTCATTCACCACCAGACACTACTTCTCCCCCAGTCACCCTTACAATAAATGCAACGTTCCGTTCCTTTCACCATTAACACTAGACCTCACATTCTTCTTACTTCACTTTTAACACTAGTGATAACGTTCTGCTTCATTTGCTATTAATGCTAGATACTACATACTCCTCCATTCACCCCTAGTTGAGGTAGAACATTCTGTTCCTTCACTATTAATGCCTGGTGCCTCCTGCTTTACTCTCTATTAATGCTAGGCTTGGCATTCTACTACATTCACTATTACTGTTTGAGCCATAGTCTGCTCTATTCACTCAAGACTAGACACAACCGTCTGCTCTAGTATTAATGCCAGACACCGCACTTTGCTTCCTTCAAACTTATACTAAACACAATGTTCTGCACCACTTCTAACTAATGCTGCGCTTAACATTCTGATATTAATTCAGTAATTATTATTGAATTAGAAATAATTGAATAATATCATCTAATATAGAGCTTTTATTTAAATTTTCCCAGTTGTCAAAACAATGTCATCAATAAATATGAGGGATCCAATCAAGGATCAAATTAATACAGCATATGGTTGCTCTATTTTGTCTCTCTCTTTTTTTTTTTGGCAGCTGGCCAGTCCAGGGATCCAAACCCTTGACCTTGGTGTCACCAGCACCATGCTCTAACCAACTGAGCTAACTGGCCAGCCTGCTTTGTCTCTTTAATCTAAAACAGCCTCCTCACTGGTTTTTGTTTTTCATGACATTGCATGCTCCGTTAACTTTTAATGTGAGATGCAACATTCTGTTTCATTTGCCATCAACAGTAGACAACACACGCTCCTCTATTTACCCTTACAACGGAACTCAACAATATGCTCTTTGCACCATTAACACTAGACCTCAAATTCTGCTACATTCACTATAAATGCTTGAAACCAAATTCCCTGATCACTATTAACACCTGACAACACATTCTGCTCTCTTCAATTGTAACAGCAGACATAACGTTCTGCTTTCTTTCCCTTATGCTAGACTCAACATTCTGCTCTACTCACTATTAATAGTTGATGACACATTCTCCTGCACTTATAATTTACACTAGATCCAACATTCTGCTCCACTCATAGAAATCCCATACTCATAAACAGTCACTCCTGGTTCCCCCCATCCCCACCCCCGACCAGCCTCTGGCAACCATGAATTTTCTATTTCTATGGATTTGACTATTCTGGACATCTCATAAAAGTGGAATCATATACTATGTGGCCTTTTATGGTTGGTTTCTTTCACTTAGCATAATGTTTTCAAGGTTCATCCATGTTATAGAACGCATCAAGTACTTTGTTCCTTCTATGGCTGAATAATATTCCACTGTATAGACATATAACATTTTCTTTATCCATTCAGCAGTTGGTGGAAATTGGAGTTATTTCCACTTTGGGGTATTATTATAAGTAATGCTACTATGAACATCTGTGTACAAGTTTTTATGTGGACATATGTTTTCAATTCTGATAGGTATAGACCTAGGAATGAAATTCTTGAGTTATGACTTTTTGAGGAACGGCCAAATTGTTTTCCAAAGTGGCTACACCATTTTGTAATCCCACCAGGGTTCCAATTTCTCCACATCCTCACAAACACTTGTTATTATCTGTCTTTTTGATTATAGCCATCTTAATGGGTATAAAGTGATATCTCATTGTGGTTTTGATTTGCACTTTCCTAATGAATAATAATGTTGACCATCTTTTCATGTGCTTATTGGCCATGTCTATATTTTTTTGGAGAAATGTCTATTCAAATTTTTTGCCCATTTTTAAATTGAATTATTTTCTTACTATTGTTGAGTTATAATAGTTCTTTATGTAGTCTGGATTTTAGACCTTTATCACATATATGATTTGCAAATATTTTCTCCCATTCTATGGGTTCTCTTTTTACTTGATTTATAGTGTCCTTTATGCACAAAAGTCTTTAATTTTTTATAGATTTTCTTTAAAGATATGCACATTTATTTGTTCAAATAACAAACAAAAACTGAATAACAGATGAATAACAAAATACCTTGTGAAAGTATGGCTTCAAATTTTCACAAATACTGGAGATGTAAAACATTAAAATTTACATATTTCATTTTATAATCTCTATCATTAATTGAAATAGCTCTCTAAACTCTTCCAAAAGCATGCAAATATCAAATTAATTTCAACAGAGGAAGATGAATAAGCTTTTCAAGGACAAATTAATTTCTAAGAAAATCAACAAATCCACCTAATGAAAAGAAATCAAGAACAGAAATTAAATATCTAAGCTTAGCAACATAAATTGCATAAAAATATCCATAAAACAAAAGGAAGATGGCGACGGGTCTGGAGCGGCCGCGCCAGGAGACAGCGCGATCCTGAGAAGTGTGCGCTGTGATAACAGAATACTAATTACATTTCCAAGAGCAACAAAAAACGAATAATTCTTTCAACAACGATCCTACAACGACAAACAAGCAACAACAGGTTCGAGGTTTTAGGGCCGACACAAAAGAAGACTCCTGAGAGCACCCAAGCCCTGCTGCGGGAACAAG